TGTAAGGATGAACTCATGGTGGCCATTGGACAGTTCACACTTCTGCTTGATGGTGAAAGCCACAGGGCACACACTGTTTCCAATGCTGATGCTGATGCTGACAGAGACAAGACACACTTACTCAGGGGGTTAATTGAAGAGTTTGAAATCAGATATGACTCCCTCAAGTCATGTGATAATTTCTTAGTATTTGATCCTTCAACATGGCCTCAGGAAATGCAAGACCTCCACAGTTTTGGAAACACAACCGTTTGCAGCATTCTCAAGAAATATGAGGCCACATTGCAACTTGACAAAGATACCACTGTGACAGAATGGATGTGCTTAAAGCAGGCAGGAAAACGCCTGGGAGCCTCTTCTGTGTATGACTTGGTCCAAATAGTAAATACAAGTAACCCAGATGCTTACTCCAACATCAACAAGGTGGTTAAGCTATCTCTTACACTGCCTTTAAGCAGTGCAGCTTGTGAGAGGGGATTCTCACATCTCAACATAATAAAAACCAAGTACAGATCTCGTCTGTGAATGTGCATCAGGGCTCGTCTCTCAGCCCTGATGCACATTCACCTGTCAAAGCAGACCACAGAGACATTTGACCCAAAGCCTGCTGTTGACCTGTGGATGGAGACAGCTAATCGGAGGCTCAACCAAGGACAGGGAGGTGCATCTGCAGCATCTTCATCATCTACCATGCAGGAAGCTGAAGCAGAGGACAGTGGGGGCGACACTGAAGAGGACAGTGGTGGCGGCACTGAGGAGGACAGTGAGGAAGACTGCACTTATTAAGACCACGCTACATATGGGGTGAGTACCAGACACCATCTGCTGGTACTCACCTGAGTAACTCACTGAAAAAGTTATGTGCACCCCTGATTATAATACATAAGAAATGTGCTTAGAACTGAGATGCTTTATGGGTACATCCAACAATGGCACCCCTAATCTAAAAAAAACTAAAATTGTCTGCACAAAACATGGTTGATTGAAATTGTCCCCACCAAACTGTTCCTTGTGGGGACCTGTCTGAATATTGGTGTTGGTACACAGAGAAACTAATCAGGGATTTGTGTAGTTGGCAAGTAAACCACTATTGAATGCCCCAGCTGTTTTGTTGCTGTGAGAGACCACCTTGTCTCGACATCGTTGCATTGCCTTTTTCCAATGACGTTTAAAAATAATTTATCTCATTTGGGTTATATTGTAATTTGTGTCGTTTAGCAGAAACTCAACATTACAACAAGGAGGCAGAATGACAGTACAATTACTGGATGCATCTACATTTTCTGTCCATAGAGTTTTTTTTAAATACGGTGCTTCCACTCACACTAGGAAAGTGTGACTATCATTTGTTTTTCAACAGGACAATGACCCAAAACACACCTCCAGGCTGTGTAAGGGCTATTTGACCAAGAAGGAGAGTGATGGAGTGCTGCATCAGATGACCTGGCCTCCGCAATCACCCGAACTCAACCCAATTGAGATGGTTTGAGATGAATTGGACGGCAGAGTGAAGGAAAAGCAGCCAACAAGTGCTCAGCATATGTGGGAACTCATTCAATACTGTTGGAAAAGCATTCCAGGTGACTACCTCATGAAGCTGGTTGAGAGAATGCCAAGAGTGTGCAAAGCTGTCATCAAGGCAAAGGGTGGCTACTTTGAAGAATCTCAAATATAAAATATATTTTGATTTGTTTAACACTTTTTTGGTTACTACATGATTCCATATGTGTTAATAGTTTTGATATCTTCACTATTATTCTACAATGTAGAAAATAGTAAAAAATAAAGAAAACCCTTGAATGAGTAGGTATGTCCAAACTTTTAACTTGTACTGTATATAGATACAGTGCTGCTTGAAAGTATGTGAACCCCTTGTGCAAGTACAGATTTGTTCAGTTTTTACCATGAAATCTTCATTTAATCAGAACCAGTCTTTTTGATCTGACATAACAGTTTTATATTTACCAATACCATATGCTGGTGTAGAGGAAATCATATGTGTAGTAGAAAAACAAAATTAAAAAGGAATTAGTGCATGTGCAAAAATAAGTGAACCCCAAGTTGCGTTGGTTAAATCAAGTAGGTAAGTAGAATCAGGTGGGTAAATAATTAGATACCAAATGAACCAATCAAAGGAGAGATCCTTAGGAAAGAGTTTGGGCGGGACTCTGATATATAGAGATAAGAAACCTGATCAGTTTGGTGTTATTCATCCAGCTGAATGCAAAGCACACCATGCCGAGAGGAAAGGAGATCTCAGAGGACATCAGGATGAGGGTAGTGAGAGCTCATCAGTCTGAGAAAGGCTATAAAATCATCTCAAAAAGATTTTAGCTCCATTAGTCCACTGTGAGGCAAATCATTTACAAATGGAGAGCATTTAACATGACAGCAACTCGGCCTAGAAGTGGACGCCCTTCCAAAATATCCCCATGAGCCACAAGAACAATAATACATCTGGTAAAAGCCAACCCAAACATAACATCTAGAGATTTGCAGCCCTCCCTTGCTGTATCTCAGGTAACTGTGCATGCTTCAACAATAAGAAGAACACTGAATCGAAATGCCATTCATGGGAAGGTTGCTAGGAAGAAGCCTCTGCTGTCAAAAAAGAACCAAACTGCCCGTCATAACTTTGCCAGAGACCACCTGGACAAACCTGAAGGTTTCTGGAAGTCCATTCTCTGGACCGATGAGTCCAAAATTGAACTTTTTGGTCACAATTAACACCGCTATGTTTGGCAAAAGCCCAACACTGCCTACCACCAAAATAACCTTATCCTAACAGTCTAGCATGGTGGTGGGAATGTCAAGATCTGGGGCTGCTTTTCCTCCTCTGGACCTGGATGACTCCACATCATTAAGGGAACCATGAATTCTGAGGTATACCAGGAGATTCTTGAACAGAACGTCAGGCCATCAGTCAAGGAGCTAAAGCTGGGCCGAAAATGGGTCTTCCAACAAGACAACGACCCAAAGCATTCAAGCAAATCAATCAATCAATCAATCAATTTTATTTTATATAGCCCTTCGTACATCAGCTAATATCTCGAAGTGCTGTACAGAAACCCAGCCTAAAACCCCAAACAGCTAGTAATGCAGGTGTAGAAGCACGGTGGCTAGGAAAAACTCCCTAGAAAGGCCAAAACCTAGGAAGAAACCTAGAGAGGAACCAGGCTATGAGGGGTGGCCAGTCCTCTTCTGGCTGTGCTGGGTGGAGATTATAACAGAACCATGCCAAGATGTTCAATGTTGGCATGGTTCTGGACTAAACGTCAAATCTACCAAAGAATGGCTCAGGAGAAAGAAGATTTGTGTTTTGGATTGGCCAAATCAAAGACCTGACCTAAATCCAATCGGGATGCTGTGGCAGGACCTGAAGCAGGCAGTTCATGCCAGACACCCCTCAAACCTCACTCAATTGGCTGAGTTCTGTAAGGAGAAGTGGGCAGAAATCCCTCAAAACAGATGTCAGAGACTGATTACTGGCTATAGGAGACGTTTAGTCCAAGTTATCGCTGCTAATGGAGGTGCCACAAGCTATTGACTGAAGGGGTTCACATAACTTTGCACATATCAAATCTGAGTTTCTGCTAAATAAACCACTTTTGTTAAATAAACAATGAAAATATATCATGTTTTTTAGTTTCTGTCATTTACTTGGAATGTCTTTATTACGAATTGGGTTTTAGATAAGGATTTTATGTTTATTTTAATATTTTATAGCAAAATAATGACCAGCCTGTAGGGTTCACATACTTTCAAGCAGCACTGTATATATTCCCACTCCTTAAATAATTTGAGGAGTAGCTTAGTGGTTAAGAGCGTTGTGCCAGTAACCAAAAGGTTGCTGGTTCTAATCCCCGAGCCGACTAGGTGAAAAATCTGTCGATGTGCCCTTGAGCAAGGCACTTAACCCTAATTGCTCCTGGATAAGTGCGTCTGCTAAATGAATAAAAAAATACCCTGCTTAGCCTCTGAGGCCTCAGATGGTGGGACCGCAGGAGACAGTGTGGCTCAGTTGGTGGAGCATGGTGCTTGCAACGCCAGGGTTGTGGGTGCGATTCCCACGGGGGCCTAGTACTAAAAGGAAAGTACGAAATTGTATGTACTGACTATTGTAAGTCACTCTTGATAAGAGCGTCTGTTAACTGTAAGTAGTCCATGTTGCTCCTCAGATGTGAAATCTTTTAATTGCAGAAATATTTCAGGTGCAGAAACAATGATGTCGATCTTTCTTCACTTCTGTTCAACTTGTGCAGTGCCGTTTACCACCATCGCTATAAAATACACAAAATACACTTTCTTAAGATTTCTGGGACATGCTGGTGATTCACTACCAAGGGGCCTTCAGAGATAATCTTTCTACCCTTTTGACAGCCTCCGCATAGGAAACTCTCAACTGCCCTGATTTTGGCGACCTCAGTCTCTTTCGCCCAACTCGGGCATTCCAGGGATGTCACCTCATGTTCTCCACCACAGTTACAACACTTTGCTCCTTGCCGATTTGGCGCAGCTCCGTGCTCAGGCCAATTTCATTAATCATGCTGTGAATATGTTATGGAGTACCACAGTGTGTTATTTGACAGACATCCCTATGGTTCATTTTTGGTCTAAACATTTATTGGTTATTATATAGCTATATATGTGTGAGATATTTATTTAATGCCATTTTAATGTTCACTGTGAATAAAGCTTGAATGTTCACTGTGATTATTAACATATTATAACACATATTAATTTATTAATGTGTTCAACATGTTCTAAATTAATGCTAAATGTGCACCAAGTTGTACCAATATTTCAATCACATACAGCTGAAATTATTTTGTTTTGATTTCCCCCAAAAATGCATTAACTATTACAATACTACTTACTGTACAACAAAACTGCTAAAAAGATGTCCATCACTTATCCTACTATGCTTCTTTTTTTACTGGGAGATTTTATTTTGAAACCGGAAATCTAACTGATACCAGTTCTTGTCAGGATTACGAAGATTCTGATTGGTCGATAATAACCCGGTAGATGTTCCTACCTAGCCCCTCAACTTCCTTTTGGTGAGGTATCAGCGACGACGATGGTAAGCAATAATCGACAATAACTCAATCTAACACAATCTTCCGTCATTCAGGCAATTTTTGTATAGTAACGTTTATAAAATTGTTGACACACATCTCTGGGCTTCGTGTGATGAATTTGTGATTGAGGCTGTCTTCGTATTCGCTGATTAGAATGTCTAGAATCCGTGGTACATTTTTGGGGCTAACCCCCCTCAGATGGTCAGGTTTACATTACGAGAGACAGGCAAATGAATGACACTGACTGTCAACTAGGTAATTTTTATCTCACCTAGTGTAGTTAGTTGGTTGTCAATTGAAGTTTTTATTAGTCGCTAGTTAGACCTTGCAAATGTGTTGTCTGGTGTGAAGTATTTAGAGGCATTTATATAATTAAGCACTTGTCAGACCACAACTTTCTTTGGGGTTGTTTGTTAGTGCTTCATTTCATGGTTTAGGGTTTTGGATGTTTATCAAGTAAATATGTTTGTATGGGCATCTTGCCTGAACCATCCTCAATCCTAATTTAAGTAGCCTAGGACATGGTCATCATTTCTAGGAGGCCATGGTTGTGTGTTTTGGTTTTCCCTGTAGGGTGAACATTGTCATTCACTTGAATCAGAGAAATTAAAAATGTTATTGTAGATATCCTGTTAGATCTGTATGATTAGGCAGATTGCAAATATTCCATGTTAGTCTGAAGTCATCAGTAAAGCACTACCGTCCTAATGAACGTTTTGTTTATCAATTATAATTTTTTAGGCAAAAATCAAGGCCCGAGACCTGCGGGGTAAGAAGAAGGAGGAGCTCCTTAAGCAACTTGAAGACCTCAAGGTGGAACTATCTCAGCTCCGTGTTGCCAAGGTTACGGGTGGTGCTGCATCCAAACTGTCCAAGATGTGAGTATTGTTTAAAATCACTCGCACTGGCTAACAGTTCATTTCACCTTTCCTCCCACAATGTTTTGCAGACGGGTCATACGCAGAAGTGTTAGTGGCGTCATTAAAAGCAGGCATAAGGTGAATGTAAACAAACGCAACTGCACCTATATGAGCATTTCCTCACCTTTGGACAACAATGGCAGGAGTTAAGATGGAATGCTCACAGATGTACATTACTGTGTCCAATTCACCACGCTTGACGTCTATGGGTTCTCAATACACACATTTCTGGGAGGGTGCAGGTGGGCTAAGTGAGATCACAACAGCGCACTTCATAGGATCATTATGCGCTCTACCCTCGAACCAGTTACTGGCCCAATGCTCTTAACCACTAGGCTACCTGCCGCCCCTGGTAGAACCTGAAATCTCAGGTAATGGACTGTCTATCCTGTTGACCTGGTTCTGGGTTTCCAGATAGCGATAGAAATAAGCGTGTTCAGCGATGCATCGTTCCTAAAACGGCCGACGATATCACATGCGTTTCCCAAAACTCAGCGTAGAGAGAATGTTCACTAAGTGGGTCTTTGGAGCATGTGTCGATACTGATAAGGAAGTGCTGCTCTCGGATCAGCTTTCTCTATTCAAGTTCTTACATTTTAGTCATTTAGCAGACGCTCCTATCCAGAGCGACTTACAGTTAGTGAGTTCATACATTTTTCATACTGGCCCCCCGTTGCAAGCGCCATACTCTACCAAGTGAGCTACAGGAGGGCCTAACATAAGTAGTCATACACACTACTGACGTCGGATCAGCTCCTAGAGAGACTATTATCACCTATGGCTGCAAATATTGAGGTGGTTTATTCTAATGTGGTAGCCTATAATAATGCACTAAATCATAATTGTCACATCATTGCGCGCATTGTTGTTACACGGGAAATATATTGAGGCAAAATTACTAAGCCGCAATAGCAAAATAGAACTCAATTGTATTTAAACTGAAATTGAATTCAATGTTATTGAAATATGGAGGCATATGTAGCCTGTTGACCTTAGAATGAAGTAATCTCGGGAAACCCGGCCCTGAAGGTTTTTCAACAACCTTCATTTGAGCATTTTAAAGGGAACTAATGTATCTTATGAGCATGGGTGAAAGTAGATTTAACTTCTTCCCGGGACGGGACCTCTTGTGTACGCACGCTTAATCATAGAATTACATATACAGTGAACAGAAATATAAGTGCAACGTGTAAAGTATTGGTTCCATGTTTCATGAGATGAAATAAAAGATCCCAGAAATGTTCCATACTCACAAAAACATTATTTCGTGCAGAAATGTGTTTACATCCTTGTAAGTGAGCATTTCTCCTTTGCTTAGATAATCCATCCACCTGACAGGTGTCGCATTTCAAGAAGCTGATTAAACAGCATGATCATTGCACAGGTGTACCTTGTACTGGGGACAATAAAAGGCCACTCTAAAATGTGCAGTTTTGTCACACAATAAAATGCCACAGATGTCTCAAGTTGAGGGAGTGTGCAAATGGCATGCTGACTGCAGGAATGTCCACCAGAGCTTTTGCCAGATAATTTAATGTTCATTTCTCTACCATAAGCCATCTCCAATGTCATTTTAGAGAACTAAGTGGCTCGGGGAACAAAACATCGACATTTTGGGTCCATGGCCAGGAAACTCCCTAGACCTTAATCCCATTGAGAACTTGTGGTCGATCCTCAAGAGGTGGGTGGACAAACAAAAACCCACAACTTCTGACAAACTCCAAGCATTGATTATGCAAGAATGGGCTGCCATCAGTCAGGATGTGGCCCAGAAGTTAATTGACAGCATGCCAGGGTGACTCTTTGCATAAACTGAATGTCATTGTCAATGAAAGCCTTTGACACTTATGGAATACTTGTAATTATACTTCAGTGTACCATAGTAACTACTGACATAAAGATCTAAGAACACTGAAGCAGCAAACTTTGTGGAGACCAATACTTGTCATTCTCAAAACTTTTGACCACGTGCTTGTTTTGTCACAAACTGTAATTAGGTGAACTTTTAGAATTTTAGCAACCAGGAAATGGCGGAGTGTTTTCTGCATAGTGCATCTTTAACTTTTGTTAAATGTATTACCTTTTTATTGTGGCATAAACACAACCAGTCATTATGTTTTCATCTGATTGTCAGACAATCACTTCAAAATAATCCTTTACTAGGCAACCTGCAGATGTTCATCCACTCGCAACATATTTCCAGCCTCCAAACAGTGGTGAATGGAAAGAGGCATCTGTTACACAAATCACCAAAAAGTGTCATGACATTTGGCGATTGTCATTAGGTTAGCATTTATGCATCCACTGCTGTCCTCATCTCTGTGTCTGCCATTCATCTCTGCCTTGCCAAAAATGTCAGTGTTCTGGTCAAACCACATCGCATTTTGGTATGTAGGCTATACCACCCGTTTTCAAGTTAATTAGCAAGTTTTTCATGCCTTTGACATGCGGTAATGATAAAAAGTGGTGTTATAGCCTACAGTTTTCTTGACATTTTGTTTTAATTATTGTGATACGCTCGTGTTTTACCGGTACGGCGTACCCCAACTATTTATTTTTTCGCGGTACCGGACCGTAGCGCCTTACTTTCACCCCTGCTTATGAATATTATTTGATCGTGAAAATCAAGCCTGAGTTGACCGATAACATTACAATATGGCCAGTTCGAGAAAAACATGTTCGACTTGCATATACTGCGCATTGTTTGACATTGATATATGGCAGAAAAGCAATTGTACATTTCCCTACGTCTTATCTGTCCAATTTGAAAGATAAAATGAAAACGCGGTAAATAGCAATATGTCATTAGTTGCCACAAGCAGCACCGCAGATATTGAGATGCGCAAGATTCAAGACTTTGCTTTCACACAGCCGCACACAGTATCTGCTCATGTGCATGGGTTTGCTTCACGCTCTTACAGCGTGGGAGCAACAGGAGAAGCTGAGCATCGTGCTTCAACGCACTTAGTTGCGGAAATTTACCCACTGGAAATTGACCCACTATGCTGTTTACTTTTTGCATCTACGTCATATTGCGGAGTCTACCTTTAAGCTGTTTTCAATAATATGTTGAAAGTGCAATGTTTCATGTAATTCACTCATTCCCACCTTTATTTCAGCCGTGTCGTTCGGAAGTCCATTGCCAGAGTCCTGACAGTCGTCAACCAGACCCAGAAGGAGAACCTGAGGAAATTCTACAAGGTAGGCCTTTTATTTAAAACTTTGTTGCTGGCTTCATGGATTTAAGTTATAGGATTTTATAGTATAGAATCGCAATATCTATGCGTCATGATGGTATAGTATCGTGAGGTCACTAGCAATACTGAGTTCTAATTGTCATCACGGATTTGGTGCATCAGCGTTACAGATTATTTTCACAAATCTTTATTTGGTGCATTAGCGTCAATTATTATTTTGCTGAATTATCGAAAGTGGAATTTCCGCTAGTTCAAATCCAGCCACTTCTTCCCCAAGTAGGGCTGTTGCGGTGACCGTATTAACGCCACACCGGCGGTCACGAGTCATGAAGGCAGTCAAATTCCACGTGACCATTTAGTCATGGTAATTAGGCTTCTCCAAGCTCTGAAGCTGCTGCTGGTCATTAGTAGCCTACCAAACTTGCTAACTGCCTGGTACTCAGCACTATATTGTACCTCTAATCACTCTGACATCAATGCAAATGTGATCAAAAATCTAATCCAACACTTCATGAGAGCCCATGAGCTCATGTTGCACAACATTTCTATAGGCTATGCAATTGCATGAGATGGCCTCTACTAAAAAGAGGAGGATCCCATCAGGTTTCTATAGGCTAGGCTTACTATATTTATTTCTAAACTTTCCTAATATTAAGCACATTGCTTGTCTTTACAACAGGAGTATAGCCTACCTGGCTAGCATGAAAATGAACCACGGAAAAGTGTCCTCCATTCGCTATTTAACTGCATAGATGACATTTATTTTTTCCCGCTGCCCCTGTTTCTATACAGGTGCATGATAATGGTCCATTCTAAATGAAAACAAATTTCACATATTATTTAGTATATGTAAAGATTAAATCAAGAATAGTCTGATGGGTGACAATATTAGCATATCACTTGTGAATGATGCCCAGCATAAGAAACAATGCCTTTTTTTTTGTGACTGTTTTGAATCATAGTTGCACACCTCATGTAGCCTAGCCCATAGGCCTATATGTTTTGATAAGGTTTGCATCACAACTAAAGTGGCCAAATAACTTCTTAAAATGAAGCACATTAATCTGCTTTACAAGGGGTGTAGAGCCTAACTGGCATACATAAGCAGCGCGTGAGTTTCAAGTTTGGGGAAGATCATTTTCACCATAAAAATGCACCTTTATAATAAAAGCATTACATGCATAATTGCATTTGGGGTCACTTTTGATAATGGTGTTTTCCGCTAATGGTACATTCGCGCTTATAGCCTACTACCATGTGCGTATTGCTGCGCTTATAATGTTAAGTAGCCGCCTAATAGTTGATCAACATTTTAAGCTAAACAGTCTGATCTGTTGCGTAAGAAAGTTTTATTTTTTTAGATGCGAGTGGTTGAAATAATTTGCGATAGAATAGGTCGACTTTTGTACTACGGGGGATAGTAGCTTGACATAGGCTAGTGCTTTTGCTGTTCGTTAGGCCTACTCATCTAGTTGGCTGACGAAAAGTAAATGTGGACAGTTCTTCCAATATCTTCAATATGCACCTGGGAATTGGATAAGGACGCGCACAGTTGCGTCCCCGATGTGCGTCTTCACTTCTAGCCTGGGAGAAAGACCTGATCACGTGATAGAGAGCCATGTGAGTGAGAGGTGATTCGGAGCGCGCAGCACTCAGGGAGAAGGGCATAACGGCCACTGGCTGCAAAAGGCATGGATTTTTTTAGGGTGCATTACGGTCACACAAAGGGGATGCCGCCGTGAAATTCTAGGCATTATCAAGTGCTTGTCAAATTGTGAATGAGTGGCTGATGTAGTGTGTATGGCCTGCGCAAAAAACTAAGCAGAGCTCATGCCTTTCTACTTTTTTCAAATCATCATTAGTCGCATCATACAGCCTTAAAATGTATTAAAAATCAAAACATATATAGCCCAACATTTGTAGAACTAAAGTTAGGTCTCAAAATTAAGCATATAGGAATAACTATTTTTGTTAACCGCTCAACACAATAGCCACATGTGCGCACTCCCTCATCGTTTGGAGAAAATATATTTTCAGCTTTGTTCAATTGTATTCTTCATACTATAAAATAATGCCACGGAATTCTAAGCAAATGTTGTCTGCTAAATTAACTACTGTAGCCCACAGCCAATTGACAGATCAGGACAACTCAGAGTATGCTATTCTGTTCTTCTGAAATAGACTACATTTTCTTCATATCATGCTTCTTTAGACCTGTCTAAAATAAATAATGGATTTATTGTGAAGGTGTAGGCTATATTACATGGATTTATTAGACTTTTTAAAATGTAGATGTTCCAAAGGTCTGCATCAGTTGCTTGTAGGCTATGTGTGGAAGTCAGGAGATGAAATGTGTTTATGTTAATGAACGGTCAATTTCAGTGAGACCGACAGTTATTTGCTTGACAATCACCAGCTGACGAAATTTCGTGACCACCACAGCCCTAGCCCCAAGAAATAAATGAAGTTGGCTAGCTAGCGCTGGAATTGGTTATGGGTTCCAAGACCTGGGGATCATTTGCAGAATGGCACATACAGCCTGGATCAAACACTGCATTGCTGAATCCCAAACCAGCCCCTCACCCCTACCAACTCCTCACCCCTACCAACTCCTCACCCCTACCAACTCCTCACCCCTACCAACTCCTCACCCCTACCAACTCCTCACCCCTACCAACTCCTCACCCCTACCAACTCCTCACCCCTACCAACTCCTCACCCCTACCAACTCCTCACCCCTACCAACTCCTCACCCCTACCAACTCCTCACCCCTACCAACTCCTCACCCCTACCAACTCCTCACCCCTACCAACTCCTCACCCCTACAGCCCCTCACCCCTACCAACTCCTCACCCCTACCAACTCCTCACCCCTACCAGCCCCTCACCCCTACCAGCCCCTCACCCCTACCAGCCCCTCACCCCTACCAGCCCCTCACCCCTACCAACTCCTCACCCCTACCAACTCCTCACCCCTACCAACTCCTCACCCCTACACTTTTTTGCTTATTTTGCAGGGTAAGAAGTACAAGCCCCTGGATCTGAGGCCCAGGAAGACCCGCGCCATCCGCAGGCGGCTGAACAAACATGAGGAGAGTCTGATGACCAAAAAGATGCAGAGGAAATCACGCTTGTACACTATTCGCAAGTTCGCTGTCAAGGCTTGAGTCTGTACCTTTTTTATATTGAAAATAAATTACCTTTCACAGGAAAAAATATAACTTTGTCTTGTAAGTGTTTGAATTAAATCTGTCAGAGAATCCCAAGGGAACAGCTTATTTTTTAACAGTATTGTTTGTCTTTTAACAATTGGAAAAAATGTACACAGCGTTAAGATGTGACAAACAAAAGAACAAGGGAAACGACATGGGGAAAATGATGAAATAAAATGCTGTGACCTCATTCCCTCCCCTTGGCTGTGAAGTATGCTCTCTTCATTCTCCATCATTTGATCTAAAACTATGGACTGGTGTATAAAAGTTGACTATGATCTTATCCAGAAACAACCTTTTGTCACTACTACTAAGTTAGGCATTTCAGATTTTGAAGCTGCAAAAAATAATGGTACAGGTATAAGCAATATGGTTGTTGTTTCACCTTGCTATCTTGATAGGCTAAAAGGCTTTGCATGGTCAATCTGCCGTCTACGAGCCATATGGCATTTACTGCGATGAGGCCTCTGCAGAAGTCAGGGCATTTATAGTTGTTGCGCTTCGGAGAGCGGTTGTCAAGGAAGTGAGTTTGTGTTTATACTGGACCACCCGCCCCCACCTACCGTCAACCAATCATGTCAATGCAGAGCTATATCGAGCCCTCCGCATTGTTACAATATTTGGGCAGCGCACAGCGATGCGGTACAGAGCTCAATTTGGCCTCTGCATGCGCCTGGAGGCTCCGCATACGGCGCCACCGACCACACTTTCAGATGAAACATAAATGAGCTTTTAGGTGAAATATTTCCAATATTGAGTTTAGGAGTAGGTCCTGACCTTTGGTTTCGATGAGTCGTCACCAGATGGTGCTCTTGGTTCCCATGTAATGGACACTTCAATAAAACCATATGTCATGAAGTCAATCATGAACAGGCTTTTAATAAATGTTGGAAAACTTAATTGATTCGTTACTAAATCAACCAAAACCCGTGTTATGTATTCAGCTGAATTTTGATTAATTAACATGTTTTAATGTTTTGCAGTTTGTTCTCAGGCTCTCTAGGCTAGAGTAGAGCACTCTGTAAAATAACTAAGTGTGAAATGTTTAGGTATGCAATAAATGATAAAGGGAAATCTAAAAAGTACAACTCTTAATAGGGCTCTCTGCATTGGTTGGAGCGCTTGTCAATCATATTGCCTCATTGTCTCGTTGGTGCGACCGATAGTAGAACTCGAGCTGGTTGTAAGCGTGAGGAAACAGTTGTGGCAGCAGAACCAGTGCTGGGCGCACGGGTGCACTGATTTCAAGTGCTGTTTTGTTGGAATTGTTCTGACTTTTACGTGGGGAGTTGAAAGAACATGAAGTGTGAACTGAGAACTATGTTTAGGTCAACGATGCTGGAATTACTTTTGTTTTCATTGACAGCTGGGTTATATCGTACTGCACCGCGCGCCTCCTACAACAATGAACTGTCTGTATCAAAGCAACCTGCCATGTCCGAAATCACACTCGGGCAGCTCGGCACTACCATGCCAAACTATTTACCCGAGGACAGTGTGAGGTTGTCCACAATTTCAGCGCTCTCCCCAGTTTCTACCGCGACCACGTCGGCAAACAGGATTACAGGTAAAACCACTAAATCTTACCGAACGCACAAGTTGACCCGAACAGCAAAGACCACCATAAGTGAGTCCATATCTAAGGATTCCTCTGTAAAAAACAATGATGGTACAGCCGACATAACGCCGACAATTTACATAGGAATAATTCGAACTACAACACTAACTGCTTCAACAATTTCTACATCGAGGGCTCCCGAAACAAAGACAAATTATTTGCCCACCTCGCTACCTCCACCTGTCCCCACCACTGACAGGCAACAAAGTAAGTCTCTGCTCTACCCAGTTTTGGAAATTGAAATACAGTAGGATGTTGACATTCATTTTGAAACAGGATTATTTTCATGTCCAAATACCTCGTAGTATGAAATATTGCATGAAATAAAATATTTATTTTAAAAAGCAACGAGAAACGAGGCAGTGCACGGTCACTGCCATTTGTCTCAAGACACATTACCCTTTTCCAGTTACACAAGTCAGAAAAGGCGATGGCAAATGTATGTTAACTATCTTTGAATGTCCATCAGGTAGGTGTCAGGTAAAATATAATACATTAGCCCACCCTACTCCTGGGGAGCTACAGATTACAGGGTTTTGTTCCAACCCTGCTCTAACACATTCTACTAATCATCTGCACGCATCAGGGTCTTGAAAGTTACAGGTTTTGGGAAAAAATAACTGAGCAAAAAGACTATCGAATCGGTAAACTGTATCGGTTAATTGGGGTCCCGTGTAGCTCAGTTGGTAGAGCATGGCGTTTGCAACGCCAGGGTTGTGGGTTCGATTCCCACGGGGGCCAATATGAAAAAGGTATGCACTCACTAACTGTAAGTCGCTCTGGATAAGAGCGTCTGCTAAATGACTAAAATGTTAATTCTGATATGAATCAAATATATATATTTTTGGGGAATGTCATTGTCTTGCCACATGTATACACCCCTACTCAACACAATAACTCGTATGTCACACTCCCTACAGGTATATCTATCCAGTCTGGAATATAGGCATTTGTCAGATGTTTCTGGCTACCTTCGTTTTTGTGTAGTTGTTTTGTGTCAAAATAAAGTAACATTGGGAGGAAGTCACAGATGATGGAAAATGGATATCATTGCAGGTCTGTGGGAGTGACATGAACATGAACTGATAAGCCTGTGATCGTCATGTGTGGAGTGAGATTGTAAGTCACAGCGTAGGTGACATCGAACGTGCCCTGCTTCACATTCAGAAATCCCTATCCTTTCTTACCACGCTTCGGTGCAGCTGAAAGGGGCCGGTTTCTCTGCACCTGGTTGGATAGTATCCCCAATGCTCCCCACAGCCCCTGCCAAGCCCTGACAGACATTGTGGTTTGGCTCTGATTTACTTTGTGCTAATGAGTTTGTGATGGCAAGGATTGCAGACTCCTAGATCCAGGAGATGTTTGTCACAGCGCTGCCTGTCAGCCCATGTTGCCCCTCTCTGTGGTCTCCCCCTAGTATAGAACTATTTAATCAGTTTTGTCTGGTTGTGTGGTCTTTTAACTCGTCTCACTGTCAAACTCTGCTTATTCTTTTGTAATAAATGTTTCCATCTTGACCATTTTCTCTTTCAAATGTCTACTGAGAGAACAGAGATGCCTTGAGATGATGAGGTCTTTAGAAGCAGTGTGAGTTCTTCTAGTCCCTAGGCATACTATCTGATGATTGCATTAAATAATCGTGGAAGCTCATAGTAGAGTAACTCTCAAATCAAATCAAATTTTATTTGCCACATGCGCCGAATACAACAGGTGTAGACATTACAGTGAAATGCTTACTTACAAGCCCTTAACCAACAATGCAGTTTTTTTAAAGAAAAAGTAAAATAAAATAAGTGTTAAGTAAAAAAATAAAAGCAAATAACTAAAGAGCAGCAGTAAAATAAAATAACAGTAGGGAGGCTATATACAGGGGGGGTACCGGTACAGAGTCAATGTGCGGGGGCACCGGCTAGTCGAGGTAATATGTACATGTGGGTAGAGTTAAAGTGACTATGCATAAATAATAAACAGAGTAGCAGCAGCGTAAAAGAGGGGGGTGGGGGGACAGTGCAAATAGTCCGGGTAGCCATGATTAGCTGTTCAGGAGTCTTATGGCTTGGGGGTAGAAGCCTTTTGGACCTAGACTTGGTGCTCCGGTACCGCTTGCCTTGCGGTATTAGAGAGAACAGTCTATGACTAGGGTGGCCGGAGTCTTTGACAATTTTTAGGGCCTTCCTCTGACACCGCCTGGTATAGAGGTCCTGGATGGCAGGAAGCTTGGCCCCTGTGATGTACTGGGCCGTACGCAATACCCTCTGTAGTGCCTTGCGGTCGGAGGCCGAGCAGTTGCCATACCAGGCGGTGATGCAACCAGTCAGGATGCTCTCGATGGTGCAGCTGTATAACTTTTTGAGGATCTGAGGACCCATGCCAAATCTTTTCAGTCTCCTGAGGGGGAATAGGCTTTGTCGTGCCCTCTTCACGACTGTCTTGGTGTGTTTGGACCATGATAGTGTGTTGGTGATGTGGTCACCAAGGAACTTGAAGCTCTCGACCTGTTCCACTACAGCCCCATCGATGAGAATGGGGGCGTGCTGAGTCCTCTTCTTTTTTTTCCCTGTAGTCCACAATCATCTCCTTTGTCTTGATCACATTGAGGGAGAGGTTGTAATCCTGGCACCACACGGCCAGGTCTCTGACCTCCTCCCTATAGGCTGTCTCATCGTTGTCGGTGATCAGGCCTACCACTGTTGTGTCGTCTGCAAACTTAATGATGGTGTTGGAGTCGTGCCTGGCCATGCAGTCATGGGTGAACAGGGAGTACAGGAGGGGACTGAGCACACACCCCTCATTACAAGTTTTACTGTGCTTTATTGGTTGAGGTAGGAGTGGATTTCATTGGGCGGAAAATGAGAACTCCCGCAAACACAGTATTACCTCTGCATGTAGTTCTTTATTGTGTCTACGTTTCGTTCAAGACGTGGTTGGAGTGGAGTTGTAGACTCGCTTTTGTGGTACAGTAGATGGACTACCACTGCAGCTACGCGGGGGATTCATTTCCCCTGGTTTTTGATTTGTTCCCTGTCCCATGCACAGGGACCCAATGGGCAGTAACTAGAGGGCTACTGTAATGGGGCTGTATTTGATCGATAGCCAAGCCTTCAGGGCGTCCTGGTCAGATGAAAAAGCATCTGACCTTGTCGCCGTTATCACACCACAGATATGCCTCATTCTGTCGTACGGGGGTAGATTGAGGCTACCGAGAGGCAGTGCCACAAAAACAAGAATCCCACACAGCTTCCAATTGGCTCATTCATCCCCCCTTTTCTTACCCAGGTCATTGCTGTAAATGAGAATGTGTTCTCAGTCAACCTGGTAAAATAAGGGTAAAATATAAAATAAACACGGTGCCGTTGCTGAATCTGCCATAATGTCGCACAGCTGCAGTAAGATTAGGTTTCCCCTCGCTCTACCTAGACGTTGGGAAGCCATACGGTGTGCCTTACTTGAAAAGGATTCATGGTAACCTCTGACCCTGACCACCCGTTACACTAGTATTGGTTGCTTGGTAAAACTTCCCTCGACCTGCAGCTAGACTCTAGAGTAGCCCCTTGGACATCCCTCTTGCCATAAACACACTAAACTGCTCCATTTGTCTACTGTGTCTGTCTTC